TGTTTTTATGAGAGTATAACATTATAACATGATATAAAACTCAAAAAAGTTGATTTTACATGATGTTGCCCCTTTGACAACAAATTAAACCAGGTGTGTATCTTTAGTGTTTTTGAAGAAAGCAGAAAGTAAATAAATATAAGGGTCGTATCCTTTTACTCATCTTAACTGATTCTGACTTGTTTGACAACCAGCAGTGAACAGAGAATCGAAGCGAGCTTAAACCCTCCCTCGTAGCTCTTTGTACATCTCATGGTAATCCATAAAAGGACAAAGGTTTATCCTCTCTGTTTTTTGGCTGCACAAGCAGATTAGTTGTTTTGTTTGTGTGAGTTTTAAACAGCAGGACAGGGTGGGAACAGAGAGCAGGGTGTAAACCGTGGCTGCGCTGCAGCTGACAAGCAGASAGCAGGATCCACGTTAGTGGGATCAAAAAAATGGTGTTTTTATCCACTCCTCTTCCTGCCTGGATGCAGGTTTTTATTTTTTTTCCCAACGAGCTGATTAATGCAGCTCGCTCATCCCGCGGCGCCGCAATCCGCACACCTCTGAGCACTGCTGATGCTGAGGCAGTTTCCATGGCAACTGCTGGCTGCTGCATCTCTCTCTCTCTCTCTCTCCCTCCTTCGCTCATTCCTCCCGCGTGCAGTCGGCAACTGAGCCGCTTCCTCTCGGATAGCCCGGGGTGGCTGTCGTCACTCGGTCTCTATGGCAACGTGACACAACAGCAGTAGGCAGAGAAACACGATCCACACACTCAGGAAAAAAAAAAAACAAGAAAAGAAGACTGATTCATGCAGCCATCGACCATCCCGCTCCATTCATCACAGATTAAAGGGCGTCCTTCGTCTCTGACTCCCACACTTGTGGTATCAACATGTTTCCTGGCAGATCTCTCTGCAGCACACCCAGCTCTGACCTTCATCACAGCTTATTTATAGTGGACTCACGTAGGCCAAGGCTCCCTGCGTCCCTGCTGCTCACCCCATGATGCTGAAGGGGGGCGCTGCCCTTGTTTACCGTCCTCCTTTGATGCAATATTAATCAAGCATTGTGGCAGGAGCTGGCACCGGGGCTGATCAAGCAGGAGGAAACCRGGACACGAGGATATTTCTGTATGAGTGTCGCTGAAGAACGTTTAGTTCAGAGTGTACTGATTGGTCATTTTTCTGACATCGCTTTGCATTTCAGCTGGGGGGATAAATCAGTTTAATAAAGATTGTGCACTTTCATTGAGACTAAACTAAACTAGCACAACCTAATAGTCCTCAGAACAGGAATGTAAGTTATCGATTAATGCAGAGATTCTTAAGCGCCACCTTGAGGACCTCAAAAGAACAACAGTTTTTAACTTTGGGCCGCAGAGGGCCGTGGGACCACATTGATTTTGAATAAGGTGCAATACACTTTCTCACCATTAGGAGCAGTAGTGCACCACTCAGATG